CTTTGATGCGAGCCGCGGCGGCTACCCCAGCCATGGCCGGACTCTAGGGAGTCCAGCCATGGCTGAGGTAGCCGCCGTGGGTCAGATCCAAGCCGCAGGGGGAGGGAGAAAACCGGATAATCCGTTCCAATTGGGATTAACCGGTTTTCAATGCATTCCTATGGGAAATGGTGCTTCACATAACGATGTTTTCACATAACGTTTTATTTTTCGGAACCAATTAACATCGTTATGCGAGGCACCACTGTAGTATAAACATTCTAGCACAATTTAGTCAGAAGCAAGGGAGAGCAGGTGGCCAGCAGAAGTGTGTGAGAGAAATGGAGTCAAATCTGTGACAGTTGCTTTCTCCTTTATGAAAAGCTTGTTTTCACAGTTCCTTCTCAGGCAGGCCACTGGAGAAGCCCAGACCATGGCAGACTAACCATACACACAACTGTGTTGTGCAGGGTTAAACTTTTCACTGTCATAATTGGGATGTAACAAATCTGTATGCTTCTTATTTTACGCTAAACAGTTGAATTCTAGCTGGACATAACTTGGAGTTTTGGGGGTTTTAGATGCAGGTGTTTTTCAAACTGACATTAAATGAACATTCAAAGTTTATTTTTTTAAAAATGTAAACACTGGCAAAATTAATCAAAGCCATCAGCAGCACTGTTCCCTTTCTTAGCCAAATAATTATTTTTAAAAGCACAGAATAATTTGAGATACAATGTTTTTTGGAGGGTCTTCAGCACCAATTCCACTGAAATGAATGGAAAGCCACATCAGCGCCCTTGCAAGATATATGTTACTGGCCAAAACTGTGTTGGTGTTTTCTGCTTGTGCAGTGGCTCATTACTCATGTCATCTATCTATACCTCTTGCACAAGGGGATATTCACTGTCCCATTACACACACATAGGTCCCATTGCATTTACTAAGGTAATCTCCTGATTTCATATCTGAACAATCATAGAGTTCCACCCATATAGCTGTTACACACCACCATTGCTAATAGGATCTGAGTTCCTAGCAAGTACTGTACATTGAAGACTTAATGATATAGCATTAAACTTCTTTAATTTAAACAGTATCAACATCCTTTTTCAAATTTTACTTAGACTTAATTTTTATATGTCCAGCGTTTCTCACAATCCTGTTTATCCTGACCTTTAGTAATATATTTAGCATTTATCCCATTATCTGTTTTATCATAAATGAAATAACAGTATACCTACAAATACATAAATGTTGTTCTTGGAAAAATGAACTTCTTTCCTATCACAGTGGCTCTCGTAGCATGACTGATGGGGCACAAGATACTGTACCAAATGTTAAGAATCATTGGTATATGGAAGGGGGGAGAGGAATTGATACACTCCACCTATAGCGGCAGGAAGGGAAAAAAGTATCTGATTTTTTTTCTTTCCTAAAAAAGTGTCAATTTTGCTTCTTCATAAGCTTCTTCAGGGATTAAATCTTCTAAAGTAAGGTCATTTTATGGTGCCCTATAAGTCAAAGCCATCTGGGTGAGCATATGGTAGAAATGTAATTAGAAGAAAATAAAAAAAAGTTCTGCTGGTTTTATTAAAATCATGTTCAGCTTATTTATACAGTTCATCAAGTGGTCAAATCTATCAATTGCACACAAAGATGCCTAAAACTACAACTCAAACCTAGAGGAAGGACAATAAAAACCATATATGTAAAGCTGACCAGGTAAAGGTTGTATCATTCATGAAAACATGTGAGTTGTATTTTAGAACAGATGATAGTAAAATGTTTAACATTGAAGGCTATTAGTTCCAGCCAACTCTTTCTAGCATCAATATTTGAAGTTAACCTAACCAAGGAACACATGAGGAATGAGGATCTGTTCTCACCAGTTTTATCTTGCCCAACTGAATAAAATGCAGTTCACAAAATGGACATTTGGCCAATTTTTCAAGATCAAATGTGAC